TTTATTAAATTTTAGGTTAGATTTTCAATGACTTAAAAAAATAACAGTATTTTAATTCAATAGGATGTGGATTTGATAATAAATTTATGAAAGCAGTAAGAAATTTCATTTTTGACAGATGTCAATATAAATTGTATATGTTTTGCATAAATGAAAGGAGATTATAGATTGAAAAATATTCACACATAAGATGGATATACATATACATATCTAATTTTAGATATAATTAAGATTTTATAATCGGAATATTGAAGAATTTTGTCTTATTTTAAAAAGGCGAATGCAGTATTTTAAGGCAATATTATTATTAAAAAAAAATTGAAGCCTCTTATTTAAACATGGCGAAGGAAAGCTGATTGATAGTAAACAAATTTCATAACTACAGAGCACAATACTTATATAGCTAACTTCCATTTTTAACTGGGAATCTTTAGAAACATTACCGTCGTACATCACATGATAGGATGAAATGTTCTAACATTCAGGATTAATAATTTGTGATTTGTGCCATTTCAGATTACATTTACAAAAAACTGTGCCACTTACAATTCAGATTACAATGAATACAGTACCATTTACAATTGAATGTTTAATCAAGCCTAAATTGTCAAAAAAACCTATACTGCCAAACAAACTGCAGTAATATGTATGTATGTATTATAAAAGAATTTAGAAATTACAGCGTATTACAAAAATTGTGTGGTATTGTTGAGTATTAAGATATGAGAGCTTTTTTACATTAACATGAAATCAATTTTTATTTTTCTTTATTTTTATTTCTATTTTTTTTCCTGATACCTGTAAATTAATAGCCTATTATAATTTAGATGGTTTGGTGATTTTTTCTTTAATTTTTCTATGTTAAAAGAATAAAATCCAATTGAATTAATTTAAAATTTCTTTTTGAGAATGATATAATTATAAAAACTCCTTAATGAAATATGCCAACACCAAATAAAATATTGTAAAAAAAAAAAAACAAATTAAATTTTCGATAAATTATTTTAAATTTTAATATTGTTTTCATTTGTTCAATTTATCTTAATTTTTTTTGACAACAGTCACTTTTATTTTTCCAAAAGAGACTTAGAAATATGTAAAAAGAGAAAGGAAAAAAAACATGCAAAAATATAATAAAAAATAAATTTTTAATTTTATTTATTTGTAAATCCTACGGTTAATCTATATTGAAGGCATATACACGTGCATACACCGAACCTACATTATTTTATACACAAAATTCGAGAATAATAAAAATCATCAAGGGAATTATAAAAATTGTTCTTCATTTTTTTATTTTGTTTAGTTTTTACGTTTACCACCTTTTTGGGAATTTATGATGTCATATATTTTTTTCTATATTCAAATCTCATTACATAATATTGATACATAAATGAATTATTGTTGAATTTATATATAAACATAATATATATACAGTTAAATAAAATTTTAATCATCTTATTGTTACGTGTCATCTCTATATACCACATAATTTATTAAAGGTTAATACAAGTACAAGGTGTGCTACTATCTAAATCATTAAATAAGAGTGTAGATAAAAAAATAATTAGATATTGGAAAAAAGTAAAATATTATTAAAAAAAGAATGAAATCATTATTCTTTGGTCAAAATATTTTCTATGTATGAGTTATTCAAAATATTTTAATTTTAATAATAATTTAATATTAAATAACTAATTTCAAATTAATTTTTTTCATTTTAGGGTTACATTTAAGATTACCAATTCGGATCTTAAAACGGAATTATGTGATTTGGAATAGCAATTGTGCTAGCATCAACTAGTACGACTCAAAATAAATAACAAAATATTTTCGAAAACTAATCGATAATACAAAACTGTATTACATTTTAAGGAAAATCAATGAGAATCTACCAAAATTTTTACAATTTACTGAAATTATATTTTGAAACGTGCCTAAAAACTTTTCATTTTCGAAAATTTCGGCCTTTAACTTAGAAGTTATAAGAAAACAATAATATTAATCTGCAATGTTCCGAACCCTTTATAGATATAAGTGTTTGTAAATATTTTTAATGTTTTTAATTACCTAATAACGTTATGATCACTTTGTAAATTTTTAGATATTTAAAATAATATGCGTATGTTCAATATGCTAACATCATGTATGTATATAATTTTTTTTTCTATTAATGTAGCTTATTTATAAAGAAGTATAATTAATTAGAAATGTCATGATGAATAACAAATTACTTTAGATACAAAATAAATAATAAACTTTATTTTATGTTACATACCTAAAAATATATGAATATGCGTAACGTATGTACATTAATCTACAAAACAAATGTGAATTTTATATTCTTATGCTCTTACATTTGTATTAAAAAAAAATAACGAAAATGATAAGAAAATTCAAGGTATTATAGAAAATTTTAAATTTTCCTTCTTCTTTTTCTCTTCTTATTATTATTATTATTTATTCATTTATTTTGTCTTTATTTATTTTGAATACATTTTTTTTTTTTATAATATATTATTTTATATGAGATACATGTTAAGTATTCGAACATTCAATAAGGCAATCATTATAATGAAAATTCAAAAGAAAGAAAAAATAAAATTTAAAAACAATTAAATTTAATGTTAAGAAAATAGTAAAATATAAAAGGACAAAAAGGACAATAAGATAATAAATTTGAAAAAATAAATTAATGAATTTTCTAATACTTATACATATTTACGATATATGTATGTAATTTAATTTGTAATAAACATCTTATTAATTATAATCATTTTGGTTTTAATACATACATATATGTAAGTAATAATAAGATTTTAAGGATATTTATTATAAAAAATTAATTATTCTATAGAATTTCATTTAAAAAATATAAAAAATTTGTTTTTTTAATTAAAATAAAATGTTCTTATGTCATAATCATATACAATTTTATTAATTTGAATATTAAATGAATTATTTTCATTTACTTAAAATGATTAATTTTTTAATTGCGTTGTAAATTGTTTTCTTTAAATAAATTTAATTCGTTTTTAATTTTGATATTGTATTCGACAACAAAAATGAAAATAGCAAAATTTTCATAATATAGGCATAATATTATATTGCATTTCAAGTAAATAAAATGAAATTAAAATAAATTTAGTTAAACTGCCTAATACGATTAAAGAACGTGTAAATTATCAACTAAATGTTTTAATTTGTTCAAATTGCTAGTGATTATTGGAAATATTATTTTATTTTAAACTGGAAAAATATTTTTGCAAATAAATGGTCACTTTCAGTTATGAATTTTAACAATATAATATAAAATAGATTGTAGATTTCTCATTAGATTTGGATATCTTTAAGACTTATTCTTAAAAATAAGATATGAAAAAGAGATGTAAATTTTTTTTATAATAAGACAAAATTCTTTATAATTTCATATAAGGTGTAATCGATAATGTTAAATGCGCGTTGAATTATTTTGCATCTTAATCGATATTGCATTATTTAACAAAAGCATCGTAACTTTTACTGTTATCAACAGATGTGTATACATTTGTAATGTAATCAATAATACAAAAAAAAAAAAAATAAATTTCACGTAATTTATAATGTCAATTGCCTTTCGTATTGTTAATTTTTTTTTTTAAATTTTTGTAATAAAAGAAAAAATTCAATTATTTCGAAATGCGGATTTTGTGCAAAATGAAACATTTTTGAAGGGGATAAGTTAATTTTATTAAATGAAATAATATTTAAGTAAAAATTTCAAACTAAAATTATCAAAAATAATTTGTTTTGCGAAAACAGTTTCTAAACGATTGTATGCAAAAAATTTTGTACGAAAATTGATAAGCAAATATTTTTTTAAACTTAAATTATTGATTGCAATTATTTTCAATCGGCATTTGACATTATCGATTACTCCTATATTAATTAAATAATTTATAAATGTTAAATTTAAAAATGCTAATTTAAAAATGTTAATTGTTGTTTTAGTATTTTTGTTTTTTTCTTGTTACCTATATTATTAATATTTTTATCAGAATTTTTTTGTTACTATTTTTATTAGATATTTTCTTCTTGTTCAAACATTATCAAAAATATTTTTAAATTTAGGGATTAAAACAAACAACATCTATCTAAAAAACAATTTCAATTTTATTTTTATATTATTTTTTTTAGTGCATGTGGTATGGTGGTTGTTGATATTTTAAAAAGGAAATTATTTTTAATTATAAAAATTGTTTGTAAAGTTTAGTTTGTTTTATTATTTTTTTGTTTGTTTTTTTTTATGTATTTTTTTCTTTGAAATTTGAATAATTTACACATTTATAGTTAATTAATTTGTTTTACTATAATAATAAAAAAAAATTATTTAAATTTTCAAAGGTTGCCATCAGTTCTTTTTAAAATTAATTTTTTGTTTTTTAATGAAAATAGAGATCATAAAATTTAGGTTTAGCAATAAAAATAAAACAATTAAAAATTCAAATAGAAATTTTTCTATATATATTTTTTTTTTGTTAAATTTTTGGGATTTTCAAATATAGTTTAAGCATTTTGTGGAATTAAGTCAAATTTTTTTTTTTCATTTTTATTATTTTTTTATCACTTCTAAGGATAAAATTATACCAAAAATTGTACACATCCTTTTAATGTTTTATAATTTTTTCTATACAATTTTTATGTGATATTTTAATTTTTCATTTTGTCATGTTATAAATGTTATTTTTAATGAATTTTATTTTTTAAAAATTTAAATTAAAATTTATTGAAATTATGCTGTTAAGTTTTTTTTTTTGTATTTTTTTGTATATATTTTTTAATTTATATAGACATTTTTTTTTTAATTTTTGTTTTAATTTATATTTAAAAAAAAGCGTTAATTGTAATAATTTTTTTTATTCGTTTGTTTTGTTTGTCTTTTTAAATTTATTTTATTTTTTTTTTGTAAAATTTTATTTTTTTTGTTTTTGTTTTTAATCTATATATGTATGTACATATATATATATATATATATTTTAAATATATTTTAATTTTTTTTAAATAATTATATTTATAGTTAAAGTTTAATAATTAATTTTTTTTTTTAATATAATTATTAATTACAAATTTTAATAATAATAATTAATAATATTTATAATATATATAGCATAGGCGTAATTTTATTTATTATTTTGCTGTTGTGCTAATTGTGATTTATAAAATGTATAAACAAATTCTGATAAACTATAAACAGTACCGGGTCCTTTACCCGCTGTCATACAGATGAAATCACCTAGACTATGTGCGCTGGCTAAAATTATAAAAAAAAAAACAAAAAAAAAAATGTAAAAATATATATTGTAATTTATTGTAATTTTGAAAAATGAAAATTTATTATTATTCAGAAATTATTTGGATATAAATACAAGATACGGAAATGATGTAGTTTTGTATCAAATATTAAAATTATAACTTACAACTTGACTGTATTGGTGGATATGATGGAGGTGGTTTTATCCAACTACCATCTGGTCTTCTCATATGCCTTCTATCTGATGCAAATTCTGTTAGATATGTTTCAGCTGGTATTACTCTAAAAAATCTAGTGAGAAAGAAAAAATAAATAAAATAAAACAAATAAAATTTTTAAAATATAAAATTAAATATAATTATAATTAATTTACTCATAAAATATATTGTTCATATATTATTTTATTAAATGTATTATCATATTTTATTTTTTTAAAAGTGTTCAATACACTATGAATAAAAATCTTATGAATAAAAATACACTATGAATCTTATGAATAAAAATTAAAATTTCATAAAAGCAAAATTTTAAGCATGAACAAAAATAATAAACAAGTTTACACTCGTAGAGTAAATTAAAACTACATACATATTTCAAAAATATTAACAGATGTACAAACATTATTAATCTTATTCGGTGAAGCAAATGACATTTTTGGCGAATATGAATTTTTAGTATTACAAATTTTAAGCGAATAAGCTTAAACTCTAGAATGAAAATTCTAAGCGACAAGTTTAGAAAATGAAATTAAAAGTCGAAATAAATTTGGTTATCCTATTAACAATTTTTAGGTTTTATGATAATGCCATTTTTTAATGACATAAATTGATCGCTGATCGTAATTTATGAATATCATTCAATTCGCCTAGTTCATTCGATTCGGCAAGCCATTCGCTTCTCCCGACATAATGATGTTATGCACTGAAGCATCTTAATTTAATAAATAGACACTCTCTGTAGTCTCAAATGTACCTAGATTTTGACGATACTGCTCAATGATTTTGCATTTAAGCTACGTATATAAATTAAAATTACCTGTTATGTAAATATTTGTTTTGATTTTAAAATATTATAATTTCAGAAATTTTATACAAATGGTACATTTGAGCTATATTAAGGTATTCTTAATTAAAAAATAAACAAAAAATTAATTAAATTTATTAAATTTTATTAATTAATTTAAGCATATTTTATTTACCCTTTTCTTATTTACTTGTATTACATTATGCTAATTTATTTTACAAGGATATTTTTTTACAATGTAAGGATATAAAATGAAAAAATATTTTATGAACTTTTATAAAACTTTTATTATACATTTTTGGAAAAAATTTTCTCCCCTTAAATGTCATAAATGTCATAAGTTACAGACATAATTTTGATTTTATATAAAAGAAAAACACAAGTAAAGTAACATAAAAAAGCATAAAATGTTTGTTTGACTTTGAATGAATAGAATATAAAAACTATTTATCTAATTTAATTTGAAATTTTTTTTCACTAAAAATTACAGAATTGTCACGAAATAACTTCAAAGTTTGTATAAGCATTCATATATGCTAGCATGTATATGTGTATAACAGTATTATCAATATTCTATTGTTGACTTTACTGAAATTAAATTTATCATTGTTATAGCTATTTTGAATCAATTGTGAAAAGGCTAGCTATCTTTTTTTTGTGTTACAAAAAAAATTTTATAAAAGGTAACAAGTCAAATATGTCAAATTGAGTTTTTTTTTTTGCTATTATATTATTATTATTGTTGTAATTTTTGAGTGTTTGTTGTTGTTTTTATTGAGTAAAACCATAAAAATCTTATTATCCTTTATATACGTATATATACATATATATATATATATATATATTTGTGTTTAATATTATTGTTGTTGTCATTGTTCTTATTATTACTTTTTATTTAGTTTTTGCCTCCTCTAACAAATCACTGAATTGTTAAAACGTATTTTTTATTACTTTTCAGTTTTATTTCAAACTTTTTTCTTTTATTTTTTTCTCGAGGCATGTTTTTTAGTACTATTTATGTGATTATGTTTGTATCTTTATGTTTGAAACTTATTCAATGATAAATTTGAAAAAACAAAAATACTGATTAACCGACAATATTGCAATTTTAGAGGTTCTTTGAAATGATTAATTTGTTTTTCATTTTCTGTACATAGGGGACGAATGACAGAATTTAGTTATTGAAGATTTTATTGAAAGTCAAATCAAAGTCTGCCATCATAATCATTTTTGTGTTACTGAAACTTTATATTTAGTAAATTAAACATATAATATGTGATATAGGTCCAAAGAAACGTGCGACATTGGAACAGGAGACGTCATTTTCTCTTGCAGTCGAATAAAAATTGAATTTGAAAGATTTATTCAGCTATCGGCATTAAAGTAATCAACTTAAAATTCGAAAACTTCAGATAGAAACTTAAATTCTTCTAATAAACTTGTTAGTTTAAATATTTTACTATTTAGATTAAAAAATAAACAAGACAATGGAAAAGATAGAGATGGAAAATGTGTTAAGTTTAAAATTTATTCAATTCAAAAATTTCATTTTTTCGATTTAAAAACATTTTTGATTATAAGAATGTGAAAATGTTCTATAATAAAATTTATTTTATTTGATTTCATGAAATATGGATGGGTCTTTATTTTAATGTTCGTTTCCTCATACATTGTGTGTACATACTTGGATATTTTATACATTTTCATCTTGGTTTAAAAATCGTTTTCGTGTCGCTTGAACTTTTTTAAAAATCTTTTTTTTTTTTTTTCAAATTTTTTTTTCGCAATAAAATGAAATGAAACTTTGTCAATATGACATTAGAGATAGAAAAAAATCGAATTGGTTTAAAAAAAAGAATAAAAATAAAATATAAAAAAATCATCCTTTTATGGATGAAGGAAAGCTAAATAAAACACACACTCATCGAATTATGGTGTCATTTTTTTTTATTCTCTCCTCCTTTCCTTCTCTTTTTTTTTAAGATAAAGGAAAATAAAAGAACAAAAGAAAAGAACAACAACGAATAACGATTCAAGATGAGCTAAAACTGTAATGACAACAACGATAAATTGTTCAATTCAGGAAATTCAATAACAAGGATACCGAAATAAAAATAATCGTATATAAAAAGAAGAAAAAATTTTAATATTATATTTGTTATATATATGTATGTATATTTATAAATGTACCATGTGTATAATATGTACACATGGTAGATAATAATATGTGTGCTGAAATTACATTAGTAATCAATAAATTCAGTGGTTTTATTAAAATTCAAATTAATTAGAATTCGAAATTCGACAATATACAATTTTGTATAACATTATAACAGCTATATAAATATATACATACATACATAATAGACATTGATATTGAAAAATCATTTAAATTTTCCTTTTTAAAAATATCGATTCAATTTTGAATCGATTTGGTTTTCGATTAAATAAAAATTCTCTCTCGAATTTTAATTCACAATAATTTTTCTTCAATTTTAATGCAAAATTTTGTGTAGTTCAATTATTTGTTAGAATGTCATTTAAAAATTGTATGAATCGAAAATATTGCAGTTTTATTTTTATCTATTAAATTGAATTTTCTTTTTGAAATAAATTTGTAATAAAATTTAAAATTTTTTTTGAAGCGAAACATTAAAAGATTTTTTTTTCTTATTTTACATACAGGTACTTAACGTTTGGATTTTATAGACGACTATAAAACATACTCGTATTCCACAATAGCTGGGGAAAAATTTGTAAGTGGAACGTCATTTTGCATGAAAATCTAAATTATATAGCAGACTAATTATATTACATAGATGAAATCCTATACATTGGAACTAGCACATATGAATAAATTAATACCAAAGTTGCAAGATTAGCGGGTTTGTTCAAGAAAAATAGGTAAAAGAGTACGATTAGCCATGAAGAAATTCTTATACTACAGCTTATTTTGTAGTAGAATAAAATACATATGGTATTAGCAAATGTGGTAATTATACATATAACAGTGAGAATATAAATAAATTGCAGGTAATACAAAACAAAATAATTAAAAACTTGTATGGATTAGAAAAAAGAACGTAAACTAATTTCATTCACAAAAGTTAGCAAATCATTTACGTTTCACCAGAGCAAATGATCATAATGGTCTTGAACCTATTAGGAATTCGGCAATATTTCAATACAATAGATTACCTGAAAGCATTAAATATCTAACTGAAATAAAAATTTAAAAACGAAATAAAAATGTTAATGTAGATGGTTTTAAGTAGAACACTTAATTTATGCGAATATCGAATTTTTTAATTGAACTTTTTAATACTATAACCATTTCTAGGACTTAAGTTATAAGTACTAAATCCGGTTTATTCGATGCGTTTTCGATTTGCTAAAGAAGATTTTCATACAAAAATTTTAATACATCTTAATATTTTCCTTTTTGTTCTTGTTGATTGGTTCCAGATAAACTTTCGGAGAACAATGCATTATCATCTGAAGTGAAGTTATTGAAGTGAAAAAAGACAAATGAACGGTTAAATTATTAAATAGGTTATGCACAATTTGAAATGTTTTTTCGCCTTCATATGCTCTGAACAATATAGGAAAGGATCATATTAAATATCTTAGGAAAATCTTGTGAAGCTCTTAAGTGGTTTCTATTTTGCTTGTAATTGATGCTTTTATTCACTTTTAATTTCCTTCAGTTTACAATTCAATACATAATGGAAAAATTTAAAAGTGCATACATCAACAAAGGATCTACATATAAACTGAATTCCAAACCACCACTAAATTGATGCGTTCTTGAATTTTTTTTTCAATATAAGAGTAAAAATATTTAAAAAAAAAAAATCGAAAAAGAAATTTTTTAATTAAAAATATGGAAAATTTTTAAAAGTTTTTTTAGTGATCGAAGTTACATTGGATTTTATTACAGTATTGCCAGGATGTTTGCAAATATTTGCATTTTTAATAATTTATGTTGTTTAGATTATCAACTAAAATGTCGAATAGTGTTCCAAAATTTTTCTATTCTCATTTTATAATGTGCCCAGCTGTAGCTTTCTTAAAATATTGTGCTACATTAAAAAAGAACTAAAGTATATATAACAAAATAATCAGCAAAACAAAAAAACCGTTAAAAAATGTGTCCTTATACAAGTCATACATTTATTTTGTGAATACAAAAGGCAAGAAAAAAAAAATAAAATAAAAGACATAAAGAAAATAATAAGAAAAAAATGGAAAATAAATAGAGTGAAAGGATAAAAAATTAAGTGAAAAGACTGTTTAACATTTATACATATATATATATATAAGTATATGCAAAATAAGAACAGTATAACACTTTTATAAAAAGAAACATTCTTGAAGAGAAAATTATCTTAAAAATATATTGCAGCGCAATAAAAATATTTCTCATGAAAACCAAAAAATTTAATTGATCAAAGATAAAAACCTCAAACATAGCCGAAGTATATGGAATGCACTTACAATAATCAGAATAATGTCAAACGGAATATCTTTCCCAGCATATGCGCAAATCCAAAGAGCGGTAAGCAAATACAAAGAAAACTAAAAGACGTTCCAGTAAATTAAGGGAAACGTCGCAAACCATCATTAAAATAGTTTTCGCTTCAGCTTCGTAACACCGAGAACCTCTCATAACGCCTTCACAGAATGAAATAATTTACATACATACATATGAATTTTCACAACAACACATAACTAAAACAAAAACTATTTAAAAAAATTATAACTAGGCGAAGTTAATCAGGAAACCCAACCACCTTTAATCTAAAAAAAATCTACATAAATTTTAGTTTCTTTTAAATGTGTTATACTGTACACATTATTGTAAACTCTACATACACATACACATTTACTGACATTTACTGACAACGTATGGAAGAGTGAACAAAAATAATAAACAAAAAAAAAATATAAAATGAAAAAAATATTTTTTTACACAATAATAATGAGAAATAAAAAAGTATGTAATAATAAGAGTAACAAAATAAAAAAAAGGAAAACAGAAAAATAAAAAATATACAAAAAAAAAAAAGAAAATATTAGTTATCGACCTGCCTGCCTGGCTTCAGGTGCTCTTAAGAATTCATTCTGGGAAATATGAAGAAAAAAAAAAATACCCCCACTATAAAATACTTTCATTGAATTTTCCTGAAACAAGAAAAATATATACAGAGGACAACACATAGTTGATTGCTAAGACTGAGATGGCAAAAGGAGAACAATGAAAGTGAATAGGTCTAGTAGTACAAAAATAAGAACGAGAGAGAAAGAGTGAGTGGATTACAAAGTTAATATGGTATAAAGTAGTGCCAGTCAGTGTCGTAACATTCATCACCTATAATGTCCCTGTTTAAACGGATGGTGATGATGTTCGATTTTAATAGTAAGAGAGTAACAAGAAAAAAAAAATAAAAAATTACGATTTAGTTTTTATTTTATTATATTTTTTTTTATATGCCTTTCATTTTTATTTATTTAATGGATTTCTGATGATGGGCTGAATTTGATGCTTCTGTATATGTAGAGTATATAGGAAGATTAATAATAAGTTGAAGAATACCATCATGACTTTTAGTATTTTTCTAAATGTACGTATACGAAAAAATCTAGAAAAGAAATTCTTGAACTTATTATTTTTGTTCCTAGTTTTTTATTTTCATTTGTATTAATTTTATATAACATACATAGAAATGTTACATAAATGTTACGTTTACAATATTATACCTGAATGCAATACATTATATGAGCCTATATAATCATTCACAATGGGACATTGTATTTAAATTGAAAATGAAGGATTTCCGTAAATATATTAACTCTGTAAACTATTACTATATTGTTTACGTATACAATATAGTATGGTTATGATTCTTTTATGAAATATTTCTAAATCGACGAGGTGTTCTATAAGTTATGCAGAATTTTTGCAGAATTCGTCTGAAAATGAGCAGATTAAAATAGTCGCTGATAACGGCTGATCAAAACATTGGAATTAGAATGGAACAGTTTGTAATCTAATTGAAGAGGAAGGAGACATATTAAAAATGGCCGCCGAAGAAATTTAATTATTTGAAGCAAGAGAAATATGAAATTTTTCTAGGTGAATGGGATACACGGAGAAAGACAATATTAAGAGATGAACAATTAGTAAAGGAGGTTGAGATTGGCAGGAGAATAAAAAAGAGAAAGCTTTATCTGGTGCAAGATAAATAAAGAAATTAATAGTATGTTCATGTGATAACTTTCTGATACGAAAGAAAAGAAAAAACAAATCGCGAGCATACAGTGAGTAAAAGAGATAGCGGAACGGAAGGTTTGTAAAAAAATACTTTAAGCACCGAAGAATTGAAGTTCAAGGTATTGAGAAAGTAATTCGAATTAAACATCAAGAGAAATAAAATTACGTGCTTGGGTGAACCTTTTGAAGTAAATGTTGACTCATATAAATTTGGATATAAAATTGCTATAAACAAACGTAAAACATCAGACATAAAAAATTAGATGCCGGAAAACGCAACTTAATACATGAAACAATAGTTAAGAAATTGTGCGAAATGAATCAGAAACACAAGAATGAGATGTCACCAGAATTCAGTGAGCCAATTCTAAAAATTGTATATCAATAGAAATTAAAAGATGTAGTATAAAGTGCGGAAAATATTGAGACACCAATTGTGTCTAACTGTATTTCAAGTGAATGAGGACAACAAATTTACAGCAACAGTAAATGAAGCAAAGAGAAACGAAACAAGAGGAGAAATAATGCTGAAGTAGTTAAGGACTTACGGGAATTATTTACTAAAACTAGCAATTCCTAAAAACGTGTTAGAGTATTTGTTTACATCCAACGATAGGTAAACAAGAAATAGAAACAACGACTGGGGGAAGAATGTTAATAATATATCCTATAATATCGAACTAAAAATGACGAAATGTTAAGCTTTCACCTATTTTTGACACCATAATTTTTATATTTTCACTTCAATATTTGACAAACTCCTTCCTTATTTTTTTTTTATTTTAATAATTTTTATCGTAAATAAAATTTTACAATAACAATTACGAATAGCTATAAGATATTGATAACATTATCTTTCGATTATTTGTCAAAATATAATCCTCGCTTCAATTAAATGCATTAAATTTAATTGGCCTCTAGAGTGAAATTTATCAAATAAATTTCGCACGTATTATGAAAGTAAATCAATTTCAAAATAAAAAGCAAACAGCAAAAAAAACGCAAAAAAATACAATCGAAATAATTGCTATTAAACAGAAAAATTGTAAAACTACAAAAAGGACAATGAAAAAAATATCGTTTTTTTTTTTAAATTACCTGTGATGCTCTGGTCTAAGTGCTAAATCTGAACGAAATGTCTCTGTTACATACTTGTGAAAATATGTTGGAAAAGGTAACGTTGTATCTAAATCGAATACCAAACACCTTGATGGTGATGGATTGTGCATGAAAAATACGTGATAATCCTGTAAAAAAAAATAAGAAAATAAAATGAGAACAAACAGAAAATGAAATGAAAAGTTCATAAAAATTATTTTACAATTGAAGGGGAATATATTCATACATATGTGTATGTGTGTATACGGATATTACACGTTACGGTGTATATAAATTTATATGAGAAATGAAAAATGAATTGAAACATAATATACGACTGAGGTGAGAGAAGGTAAGATGAGAATGAGAAGTGAATTTTACGATGTTAACAACTTTTCATTTTTTAAATCATTTAGAAATAAAATCAAATTTTTTTTGGTTACATTACAATAAAAATTGAATATTAAATGGGTACCATGGCAGAATAAGTTTTTAGTCAAAATGCTATGAAGCATTTGAATGCCAAAATGCTATGAAGTATTGAATTGACATTTGAATTTCTTACTTCATTTAAATGTTCTTATAGCAAGTAGATTAGAACTTGGCAGCCAACTGTGCTGTCAGATTATGGGAGGCTGGGTAATGGAACCATAGGTCCTTCGGTCACTATAGTATTTTTGGGCTGCTTCCTGCGGCAATGACCGATCTGATTGTGGAATATTGGACCAAGAACCTGCCTTTAAAGTCACCTAGGGTATCCTCGAAGCTAATTGCCCAATGCTGTCCCGAGCTCGCAAGGGTGTGCGCTTGCCATTGTGTTATTCTTCTTATATAGCAAGAAATAATGTAGCTACCATAGTATAGCACGAAATGAACGAGCGGATGAGCTGGCTAAATTTGGCTCACCCATGGAGATTTCAGGGACGGAACGGGCTTTTTCTTCATCAACACGATGAAAAGAATATAAAGACATTGTCTATCGTGCGCCGAGCGCAGATTGAAAGCTCGGTCCACATAAGGGACGATAAGAAAAATGTGATCAAAATACGACCTTAGGAAATTGACGACCTGGTGATCATGGGGTTGTGGTAGCAAAATGGCACATTTGTGGTAATTGGGCTACGGTGGACCTGCTGTATCAGTCATGTTAACCAACCAAGCAGATAAGAATACATGATGTAATAATGCATAGCAACCTAAGGTTGTGGATCTGTTGTGTTCCCTTTCATCTATCACGCCTAAAGCCGCTTTTAAAATGTGATTTTATTGAAGAATAGACAAAAATAAACGCAATTTGATTGCGTAATAGAGATTTCAATACAGAAAATTATAAATCGTGTATACACAGGTTCAAGGGTATACACATATTTATATAATAGCGGTGTATATTACATTTTAAATTAACACGGGATTTTGAGAGCAAATGAAATACTGTTAAGGATCGTAATGATTCTGTAGGCTCTGTATCTGAAATTTTCAAGTATTTTACAAGTTTAGAGTGTTAACTATACACTCTTTAATGGAATACAAGCATCGCAAGCGTACATACATCAGCTTATAAAAAAAGAGTAGTTAAGGGAAGAGTAGCATCAATGATAAAATAATATAATAATTAATAATAAAATAATAGAATTTTATAAAATCCTCAAATTATACTATTTGATGGTGTGTGCCAATAAGTTTTCATATATTTGTTTTTATAAATTCACAAAAAATTTAAGGTTTTGTTTTTGATTGAATGTTTTATTATGTATCTACATATATGTATATGTATAAATTATGTAGTACAAACTGAATACAATCTTCAAGCACAAGAGTAGACAAACAAAAAAAATTCTTTTGTTTTTAACAATCGAATATTAAAAATTTACAATTATTATACGAATAAGTTTTTTCATAGAACATTTTTAAAATTAAATATATATACGTACATATATATATACTCGTATACATAATTTCTGAACAACAAATAAAAATGAAAATTTCTTAAGGGAACACTTGAATTTTCATTGTTTTCCTCGGAAATTTTTGTTGAATAAGTTGTTGAAAAAAATTTCAAAGTACCTACATACTTTTTTTTTTGTTTCAAAATTTAATATTATGGTATTTTTATTTATTAATACATTTGAAAGGATAAGTACAAGGACCTGTTGTATATATGTATATAATATTTGAGTAATAAACTTTTTTAAAATATTGAACACACTTCAAAATCAAATACATTGTATAAATATATGGTATTTGAACGTGAGTGATTAACAGAGAAGAAAATTCAATTTTTTTTTTTTAAATTTTATCTAAATTTTATTTTTGAATTTTCAAAAATAATAAAAAATTGTTATATTTACAATAAGATCATTGTCATTCGGATTTCTTATTTCATTCGGTGTTCAATCACAAATTTTACTCGCACAGCTAAAACAAATGGTTTTTGCTCCATTTATAGCTCATGACGTCACAGAATGTGGATAGTTTATATTACAAAATTTCGATATCTATTATAACTCAATCGTACCAGTGCACAAATAAACAATTATAAATTCCTAATGAAATTAAATAATGAGAAGTCTTTCATATAATTGCAGAACAAAAGGACGACGTATAGCTAAAGGAACGAGTTAAGGCAAAAATAATAATAAAGAATTTTTCTCCTCGAACCAGATTCAAACAAATAACCTACTACTTTCTTCTTTTCTAGACAGACACGAAGTAGCCAGCGAAAATACGAAGAAACAGGGTATATAGAAATTATCGGCAAATTGTTCTCCATGATTATCATGTATTGTTTACACATGCTTTTAATATTTTTGTCAAAAATCGTATACAATCGTCGTATATGATCGAGCACTTTTACCTGTACGCCATTTTCAAACAAATCAACCGCCATTTTTAATCAAAAAATATCGAATTTCCTTTAAAAATAGGAAAAAAGAAACAAAAATGTCTATACTAAAATTATTTTTTTTTTTAATTTTATTTATTTTATATAAATTTTACTCAAACGATCACAGAGAATGAAAATTTATTTAAATTGCAATTGATGGTTGCAATATTGAAATTTCGAACTAACAAAAAAAAAAAAAAAAAAAATATTTTCAAATATAATGTTTTTTTTTTTTCATTTTTCAATTTAACCTTTGTTTTTAATGTTGTTTCACTTTTATATTTTTTTATTTATTCTGAAATTTTAATAAAATTGAAAGCTACACGCGGTAGTTTTTAATATTCAAGAAGAGAACATTGAAAATGGTAATTTTTTGTTTGGTTGTTCATTTTTTTTTATTTATTTATTTTTTTTTCATTTGTTTTAAGATTTCAAGTGATTCGGTTGTATAAGTCATTTTAAAATTAAAATTAATATTAAAAAGTAGTACACAACAATAATATACGTGAATGTAAAAGGATAAACAATTGAATTATTTTAAATAATAATAACAAGAACAACGAAAAAACCAGAAACTCTTAAATAAATTGTTTTTTTTCTGGTTTCATTTGTTTTTCCTAGGAATAGGAAAAGCGTATGTACATGTCTATGTGTGTTGGCAATATATGCATCTGTAAGCACATACATCTGCAGAGGTACAACACATACGCACCATATATTCATTTCCAATAACAATTTATAATTTTATATTATTATTTATTCCAATTTAAATAAAAATCTTTCCCAAGGATTCGAAATAGTAAACAATTACACAAACATATTGTTATACACAAAATCATGGTAATCATGTGATATTTTTATATAATTTTTAAGAGATTAAAATTTCACTTTGAAGGTTGTTCATTTAAACATGAAAAAAAAAAACAAAAACAAATTGCAATAATTCAAAAATTTATTTTTGTGAGTAATGAAAAATTAAAAAAATTAAAAAAAAAAAAGAATTAATGACAAATTTTAAATTTAATTTAATCATTGTGAATATTAAATATTTTAGAGATTGTGAATATTAAATATTTTAATTTTTTGTGAAAAAAATTCATATAAATATTTTTCTTCATTAGATTCCACCTTGACGCGGAGAGGCGCCATCTGATAAGTTCAAGCATGTCGAGGAAATCGAGAGGGAGTTTTGAAAAACCAAGAGAATCTCAAAAAGCTTAAAGCAACGGTATTAACCTATCTTTAATAAGTACTGTCACCTTAATGCTGTAGTGTTATACGACCCGTGCCCAGTACACTAGTTGGCAGCGTGGGGTATACTGGTTGTCACAAACGGAGTCTCCCTGATACCGGATCACCTGAGGGAGTATACTACTTTATGCGGGTTCTGAAAACACGAGCAACAGGCTAGAATCGTTAAAATTCGGGAAAATATCGATGTGCCAATCCCTGAGGAAGTAGAAAATCTGGACAAGACCGATCGCATGAAATAATGCGGAAAAGAATAGAGATCAACGTCATGATGACTTTTGCAACAATCGTATTACGGATAAAAGAACGAAGAGTCAGAGAAAACTAATCACATCCGGAAATCTGGAATGGGAAGCCACACCTTCCCGTGGAAGGACGAAGAAAGTCTCCTGAAGAAAAAAGTAAATAGACGAGAAAGGGTGGTAGGAAAGAACTCTATTTCCCATCTTCGGGACAACCAAGCCTAGATGATTCTGAACGTCGAGGAGTCAGCGGAGCTGGTGTCCCGTCAGTGGACATTCGTTTTTTTAGACCAGACACTAAATAGCTTTAAATTCTTTTTATAAAAAATTTATGTTAAGTAATTAATTATTTAATCTTCAGTATTTCAATTTATAAATTAGTTTTTACTCCTGCATAACAGGGATTTTCATGCAAAATAGCGTTACATTTATTCAAAACCCCTTCAAAAACAACGCAATGAAATTCACTTATATAGCACATTTTTTTTACTGTACAGGTGAAAACATACAATTGATAGGGAAATTTAGGGCCCGGAATTGAAAACAACAAATTTTTTTCAAAACTCTTAAAATAATATTCATGTATCCTTCTGTCATTCTCAATTCGAATACATACATTCAAAATTTATAATATTTACTGTGTTGTAGATCAGTACTAGTACATGACACCTCCCTGAAATCTCAAGGATATACAATACAAAATATAATAGGACAAAATAATGAAAAAATTATAGTTTTGTATAAATTCTTCTCAGATTCTTTTCCTTTTTTT